GGAACTCCGGAAAAGGTTGTTTCCAAAATTGCAGCACAATCACTATTTATGAGATTACTCTGTCTCAGTTCACTTACCACTGACTCCAAAGTGCTAACCTTTCTCTTTAGCCTTCTTGTTTTTTGTTTTGACACCTTAAACTTCTTCTGCAAATTAGTCAAGTTGTTTACAAGATTATCAACATTTTTCTTCATTTTGCGAGGAGATTCACTGATATGGTAAGTGTGATCATGGTTCACATGGCTTGCATGTATTCTTTTTGGAGTACTGTTATGATATTAAATTATACTGTCACACGTAATGTTATGCTCTGTTTTATTATCATAAATATGCGTCTAAAATACTCAATTCGTCAATACTTGAATCACATATCTTCTTCCTAGCCTCAAAACAAAATCTCCTCATGGTCCGTACTTTTCCCAACTTTTCCCCACTAATTATCGTCTCTTCGTCACTACTTAAAAATGGACTGTTCACGTGTTCAGCGCATGCCATTGCTATTGTTATAATTATCTCGTAACATTACCCCCTCTGCAAAAAACAAGCCCCCTGGCTTGTTCAGAGGAAAAACTAACTTGAACCAATATAAAAATACTTATTTATTAAAGATTAATTGTTAACGTTTGCTGTTGGACGGTGTTCGGAATGTCGGGCATAGAAATCTGTCCAAAGACGTTGATCCAAAATGTGGTCTGGTGGTTCCCACGTATTGTGCCGTTTTCCATACCCGCGCCATTTGATACGATATTCAGGTTTTCCATGGCGGACGCGATGACCAACAATTTGCTCGGCATCATAGATGTGGTTTACTTTTTCTTGGGCGGATGTGGTTACTCCGGTCGCTGGTGCGTCATTAGAATGACTAAGTGGTGGGCAGTTAGTAGAGACATGAGATACACAGGAGGGGAAACTGTCCGCTGGTATGTCATGATCATGAAGATATGGTTCACTATCCATATCTGGATCTTCTTGCGGGGCTTCGATCGGCCGATCTTTCGGATCGAAATATGGTTTTAATCGGTTTGCATGAACTGGAGCGTGAACTAGTTTGTTTTCCAAGGTTCGCAGCTTAAAGTGAACAGGGGATAATTTTTCCACGATCCGGTACGGTCCGTGGTAATTGTGGAGCAGTTTCTTTGACAACCCTTTACGGTTTTTTGGTGTAAAAACCCACACTCTTTGACCGATTGTGTACGGAGGTTGACGCGCTGACTGGTCATACCTGGCTTTCATTTTAAGTTGAGCCCGCTGGGTGTTAGATTGGATAAGCTGTTTGACTTCCTCAAGGGTTGTCACAATACGGGCGCGATGCTTAGCTACGGACGGGCTAAGATTGGTAGGTGGAAGTAGACTAACGTCCATTGGGAGACGAGGTTCACGACCATAGAGTAAGTAAAACAGTGACTCTCCAGTGGTAGCATTCGGAGATACTCGGTAGGTAAACAAGACTTGTGGAAGATGTTCATCCCAATCCTTTTGGTTGGTGCTAACATACATAGAAAGGGTTTGTGCCAGGGTACCATTGAATCTCTCTACTAACCCGTCAGTTTGGGGATGGTAAGCAGTTGTGTTTAATTTAGCTGTGTTCATCAGTTTGCACGTTTCCTTGACAAGGGCTGACAGGAAGTTACTACCTCGATCAGAAAGGATGGTCCAGGGTGCACTGTGTCGTGTCATGATCTCGTTAATGAGAAGGGAAGCGATACGGTGAGCTTCACAAGAGGGTACGGCGAATGCCTCAGGCCAACGCGTGTAATAGTCCGAAAAGACGACAATGTAACGCGAGCCAGAATTCGTTACGGGAAACGGACCGAGGACATCCACAGCTACGCGATGGAATGCTCCTTCGACGGGGATGGGAAGGAGTGGGGCTTGACGGCGATAACGGGGCGACTTCTTCATAGAACAGTCAATGCAAGATTTGCACCAATGCTCGATATCTTTGAACATTCCAAACCAATAGTATTTTCGCCGTAACTTCTCATAGGTTTTTTGAATTCCTAGGTGTCCACTAGTAGTGTCGTCGTGAGCATTAGTAAGGATTTCGTGACGCAGGGAAGCTGGAACTACTAGTTGGCTGAAGAGATTACCAGCCTTTAGCTTGCCAGGGGACCAAAGATGACAGAGGATACGGTCGTCGTTAAGGTAGTAATCATCAACGTGGAGGAGCAACGTTCTGGCTACGCGTTGATCATTTGGCAGTTCCTTAGATTCGAGATAGGTTATCAGGTTTTGCAGGTCTGGATCTCGGCGTTGCAGATGACGAATGGTGTCAACTTGGACTCCTGGGGTGTCGATGGCTGTGATGTGGATATTTGAGTATGGTAAGCGAGAGATTGCATCGGCATTACCATTCGATGTGCCTGGGCGATGGATGATCGCAAAGTCATACTGTTGAAGCTGGAGGGCCCATCGTGCCAGTTTGCCGGTGGGGTCTTTGATGCTCATCAACCACTGTAATGCATGATGGTCTGTATGGACATAGAATTTTTGCCCATAAAGGTAAACTTGATACTTCTGTTGGGGCCCAGCAGCGGAAAAGCAAATATGGCAGGATAATTAAACCGGTCAAGCGATAAACAATATTACCTTTTAATTGAACTCTTTTGAATTTTTTTCATATAAGTATAAGTCGCCGTGTGAGGAGCGAAAAACAATATATAAGTATAAGTCGCCGTGTGAGGAGCGAGAAACAATATATAACTATAAGTCGCCGTGTGAGGAGCGAGAAACAATATATAAATATAAGTCGCCGTGTGAGGAGCGAGGAACCTTGTATAAAATAATATAAGTCGCCGTGTGAGGAGCGAAGAACATTGTATTGTATAATTCTAAGTCGCCGTGTGAGGAGCGAAGGATTTGTAATAAAATTGCTTAAAAGAATAAACTATCGAATGAAACATTGGTAGCAGGAAATGGCTTTGATCCATTCGCTTTCGATTGCGTTCAGTTTAATAAGCTTTCGTTCCACGAGTTTTACGTCAGCCTCATCCCGAATCAACCGTTGAAGTTCAGTCATGATTCGCTCAACAGTGCTTGTCAGAAACCGTTTCTTTCTGCTAATTTTGCTAAGCAAAATTATATCTTGTTGGATTGAATTATCACTGCGTACAAACTCCTCATGAGTCTCTTCAACGAAGTTTACTTTAGGCGGTAGTGGTGTAGACGACGTCGGGGTTTGTAACTTAGTTATGATCGCCTCCATTGACTGACGAAAACCTGCCAGTTCATTTTGTATTGAGGACTTTAACTCACGAACAGAATTTTCTACATCATCAATCCTTTCTTCGGGGTCTTTTACTTTACGTATCGAGAAAGGTTCCTTTGCGTAAGCCTCTACGGTAAACCTGGTTTGATAATACTGAATTAAGCGTCTTTTCAGCTGTTCCTTTGTTCCGGAATCATCCAACTGAAACGTCGAACAAAAGACTCTCAGATCGTCAATAGTCAAACGTTCAACTAAAGCATACGCCTGCTCTAAATTCTTGGGAACTGCTTCGTCTTCTGCCATATTTCCCACGATTATAATGTTCTAATTCGATATTTTCTCGATTATTCCAGTAACCATTTCCTGCTACCAATGTTTCATTCGATAGTTTATTCTTTTAAGCTATTTTATTACAAATCCTTCGCTCCTCACACGGCGACTTAGAATTATACAATACAATGTTCTTCGCTCCTCACACGGCGACTTATATTATTTTATATAATTCTGAATTCACGTAACGTAGCAGAAGGCACTCGGGTATCTGGTAGATTTTCCAAGGGAAAAATAGGAAAGAAAGAAGAACGACTGGTTTCAGCTTCTGCTTTGCTGAATCGCACCGAAAGTAAACCGATTTGTGGATTTTGTTCCAAGCCACATGATACAGAAAAATGTTGGTCTAGACTTTATGGGTCCCTCACACGGCAACTTATACTTATATATTGTTTTTCGCTCCTCACACGGCGACTTATACTTATATGAAAAAAATTCAAAAGAGTTCAATTAAAAGGTAATATTGTTTATCGCTTGACCGGTTTAATTATCCTGCCATATTTGCTTTTCCGCTGCTGGGCCCCAACATCTTTTGCACAGTAGCGATGGACACAAAGGGAGAAGATGTGTTTCCAAAGGTTACTCGAGTCATGCAATACTCTTTTGGAGGGTCATCCATCGTTAAATCACGCCACAGGAAACGATGACTATTTTGTTCCTTCTTCAATAAGCAAATTTGAAGAAACATCTTCTTTATGTCAGCCATCATAGCAATTCGATGACTTCGAAATCGTATCAACACATGCACAAGATCCGGTTGTAACTTAGGACCTTTCAGGAGACACGAGTTCAGAGAAACGCCGTTGGACGTTTTACTGCTTGCGTCAAAGACAATGCGACATTTAGTACTTGCTTTATCTTCTCGGAACACAGCATGGTGAGGCAGATATCGAGCCTTTTCATTTTTCTCGTCTTCTTGGTCCGTTTCTCTCTGCTAATTTTGCTAAGCAAAATTCAAAGCCATAAATTCAAAGCCATTGATGAAACTGTAATGCAACTGGACAATGACGAGTTGACTGAGAATGAGATGGAGCAATGGGAAGATGTCCGAGCGCAAATTTTACAAGCAGAGGAGCAAGCAGAATTATATATTAGTAGAAACGCTACTACTAAATCAAGAGATCATGGTCTGAAACTTCCTTCATTAGATTTACCGCAGTTTGCTGGTAAAATTATAGAGTGGCCTGCTTTTTATGATGCCTTCGAAGCTGCTGTTGGATCTAACACAAAGTTAGGGAACGTTCAAAAGTTGACCCACCTTAGATCTTGTTTAAAAGGTACTGCTTTACGATGTATAGAAGGATATTCTGTGATCAACGAAAATTACGAAAAGGCTCTACAAGATCTGAAAACTCGATTCGGTCGGAAAAGATCTATTGTTAGTGAATTGGTTAAATCGATCCTTGGATTAAAGATTCCTGATGAAGATGATTCGAAAGCGTTACGCTATCTACTCGACATTATGAAGAATCGACTGAGGAGTCTTGAATCTAATGGGCTAAAGATTAAAGACAACGATAGCCTGTCTATGGTCATGTTGCCTATTCTAGAAAGCAAACTACCTGGCGAACTGCGCGAAAAGTGGGAGCTCAAGGTTGAGGAAGAAAAATGTAATATCAATATTGACTCGTTTTTCGATTTCTTAGAAGGACATGTGATTAGCAAGGAAACACGTAACGTAGCAGAAGGCACTCGGGTATCTGGTAGATTTTCCAAGGGAAAAATAGGAAAGAAAGAAGAACGACTGGTTTCAGCTTCTGCTTTGCTGAATCGCACCGAAAGTAAACCGATTTGTGGATTTTGTTCCAAGCCACATGATACAGAAAAATGTAAAGTCGCCCTGGACAGATCGCCGGAAGAAAGATGGAGTATGTTGAAAAGCAACCCCACAATACCGACCTGCTACAACTGCCTCAAACCTGGAAATGTGTCTCACAATTCCAGAACGTGCAAAAGACCTAAATGCTCCGTGGATGGATGTGGTAAACGCCATCATAACCTACTTCACGAAGACAAGGAAACAACTGATAAGAAGAAAGACGAGGAGGTTGAAACTATAACCGGGTTTGTATCTCTCAAAACTGGCCAACAAAGTTTGCTTCCTACCGCCTTGGCTCGTCTTATTCATGAAGGAAACGAATTGGTCGTGCGTATCTTGTTTGATAGTGGATCGGAGGAAACATTCGTACGTTCATCTGTTGTTGATTCTCTTGGTCTAAAGAGAAATAATGGTACAACCTCTATGAAAATTAATATGTTAGGCGGAGAGAGTCAGGAAAAGAAAGTCCATCGAGTATCGTTCAAACTTGCACCACTACATACGACTGGAGAGACAGAGTCAACTTATGTTGAAGCATGGACGGTGAAAAATGTTTGTGTCCCGCTAAGCGAAGTGAAGTTTGACCTAAAACAGTGTCCTCATTTAACAAATCTGAACCTTGCAGAGAAATTTCCACGCCTACAGGCTACAGTAGACGTACTAATAGGAATCGATCAGTATCATAAGTTAGTTGGTGATACAACAAAACGGGGTACACTGGGTACACCTATTGCGACAAGTTCTGTGTTTGGTTGGATAGTAGGTGGACCTGTGCCTGGGTCTAAAAGAAAGAATAATAAAACAACCAGCATGCTAAGCGTGACCCAAGTTGACAGTGTGGACGAGGTGTTAAAACGTTTTTGGAGTCTTGATGCACTTGGAATTGTTGATGAGATAAAAGATTCCCTAGTCACTAGTGAAGAGAAGTATGCCATGGATCAGTTTGAATCAAATCTTCAATATGATGGTAAAAGGTATACAGTTGGTCTTCCCTGGATGAGAAATCCACCACCTCTTGTTAACAACTATCATCAAGCATTCCAACGACTTATTTCTGTTGAAAAAAGTTTGAAGCGAAATCCAAAGAAAGCCGAATCTTATCGAAATGCGATGAATCAGTATTTAACAGATGGACATGCAAGAGAAACGGACCAAGAAGACGAGAAAAATGAAAAGGCTCGATATCTGCCTCACCATGCTGTGTTCCGAGAAGATAAAGCAAGTACTAAATGTCGCATTGTCTTTGACGCAAGCAGTAAAACGTCCGACGGCGTTTCTCTGAACTCGTGTCTCCTGAAAGGTCCTAAGTTACAACCGGATCTTGTGCATGTGTTGATACGATTTCGAAGTCATCGAATTGCTATGATGGCTGACATAAAGAAGATGTTTCTTCAAATTTGCTTATTGAAGAAGGAACAAAATAGTCATCGTTTCCTGTGGCGTGATTTAACGATGGATGACCCTCCAAAAGAGTATTGCATGACTCGAGTAACCTTTGGAAACACATCTTCTCCCTTTGTGTCCATCGCTACTGTGCAAAAACATGCAAAGGATAACCACGATACCTTCCCAACAGCAAGTGAAGAAATTCAAGATAATATGTATGTAGATGACTTGCTTTCTGGTTCAGATGACGACGAAGCTGCTATAAAACTGCAATCGGAGTGCTCAAAATTAATGGAAAAAGGAGGATTTGTACTCACTAAGTGGGCTTCAAATTCAGCTACGGTGATGGAGAATATCCCAGAGAAAGATCGAGCTACAAGTACAGTTATTTCGTCAAAACAGTCTGAGCATGATGAAAAAATGTCAGATCTTCTAAAAGCCCTTGGTGTTGCATGGAATACTAGAAAAGACATTTTCTTGTTTGAAGCAGGAGAAAAACTTGTTTCGTTAGAAGATTCGATGACTAAAAGAAGTTTAATGAGCTTATACGCTAGATTGTTTGACCCGATGGGATTGATAGCACCTTTCCTGATGAGACCTAAAGTGCTTTTTCAAGAATTGTGGTTACGAGGCAAGCAGTGGGATGAAAAACTCGATGATGACATTGCAAAAGAGTGGACAACTTGGAAAGAGCAGTTATGCGAACTGGAAACTTTGGAAATTCCGCGCTGTGTTTTGCCACCAGAACGCGACATTAATAAAATCGAATTACATGGATTTGGTGATGCGAGTGAAAAGGCCTATGGAGCTGCAATATATCTTTGTGCTGAAGATAAAGTTGGTAAACGCATTTCCAATCTTATCATGGCTAAGTCCAGAGTTGCACCAACAAGGAGAATTACGCTTCCACGACTGGAGCTACTTGCAGCTTATCTTACAGCTAAACTGACAAGTTATGTTATCGAAGCTTTGAAAACGCCAGTACAAGAAGTCTATGCTTGGTCAGATAGTCAGATTGTATTAAACTGGATTCGACAACCTTGTAGTAAATGGAAGGTGTTCGTCGCCAATCGTGTGCAAGAAATACAGCAAAAGGTTGATCCGAGCAAATGGCACCATTGCCCTGGAGATCAAAATCCTGCTGATTTATTGACGAGAGGAATTTCTGCTAATCAACTGGCGAATAGTACAATTTGGTGGAATGGCCCGCCTTGGCTTTTACAAAGTGTTGACCGATGGCCTAAAAGAGTATCATTTGAAAATTTGATAAAAGAATGTTTAATTGAAGCAAGAAAACAAAGTACCGTTGCATGTCATTTTGGAGCGAAAGCGCCGTGTTACCCTGATATGGCAGATAAGTACGAAAGCTGGCAGCGCTTACTACGAATTACGGGTTGGATCTTGAAATGGTCGCATTCACATGGTATTAGGAAAACGGGTCAACTATCCGCTCAAGAAATTAAGAATGCCGAGCTTTGTTGGCTTAAGATCATTCAGAAAAATGTTTTTACCACGAGTACAACAATTTGAGTAAAGGAACAGTTCTTGACTCAGCAAGTTCAATCCTAAAGCTGGATCCTATATTTGATTGGGAGAAAGAACTGATGCGTGTCGGTGGTCGTTTAGAATTTGCAGATATACCATATGAAGCAAAACACCAGATCATCATTCCCAAAAAAGATAAACTGGTCGAAAAACTGATTTTACATCTCCATATTAAAGCGTCCCACCCTGGCCCAGAAACAACTTTGGCAATCCTTCGTCAACGTTTTTGGATCATTGGAGGACGACGTGAGGTTAAGAGAATTCTTAAAAAATGCCTTGTATGCCAGCACTGGAAAACTCAACCGTGCCAACAAAAAATGGCTCCTTTACCAGCTGAACGCGTACACGTGACGCACCCATTTACGAATGTTGGTCTAGACTTTATGGGTCCCTTGTATTTGAAAGTTAAGGACAAAGAGAAGCCAAGTCAAACACACAAAGCATATGTATGTATATTTGTATGTGAGGACACAAGAGCAGTGCACCTGGAATTAACGAATAACATGACTACGGAGGAATTCTTACAAGCATTCCGGCGGATGGTAAATCGCCGAGGTATGGCAAGCACAATTCGTTCAGATAATCAAACATCGTTTCATAAAGCGGCTCGAGTTTTAACCGCTTCGAAACAGAAGATAAAGTTGAGCGGATTTGATCCTAAAGGTGCCCAAGACCGATTGGCCAATGAAGGCGTGGTATGAAAATTTATTACCGAGCGAGCGAGCCACAGGGGAGGTCATTGGGAAAGAGTATGCAGACAGATAAAGGAACCATTACGTAAAGTTTTGCGAAAGTCGTTCCTTACCTATACAGAAATGATGACAATCTTGACTGACATTGAAGCTATTATCAATTCTCGCCCATTGACGTATATAGGAGACGACATCAATGACGGGGTTGTGCTAACTCCGGCTTTGTTGGTGCTAAATCGTAACCTCGGTGAAATTCCAGAACATTCATCACAGAATCTTAAAGTATCTCTTTCTCAACGGTATCGATATCTACAAAGATTACAACATCACTTTTGGTCGCGATGGTTGAAAGAATATCTCCCAAGATTAACTACGCGCCAGAAGTGGCTTCGGGAAATATCTCCGTTGAAACCAAATGATGTCGTTCTAGTTTCGGATGATGGCTTACCCAGAGGTAAATGGATATTAGGCAAAATCGAAAACACATTTCCAGGAAGAGATGGTATTATAAGGACAGCAACAATTCGGACCAGAACGGGTAAGATTAACCGACCAATACAAAAGTTGCATTTGTTGGAAGAGTATCGTGAATCAATACCATCTCAACAATTACCTTGTGTCCGTGAAGAAACTCGCAAGGAAGAAGATCGACCTCGAAGTGTTCAAGAAGAGAATGTCAGTTCGCCATTGGTTGGGGAGGATGTTGGGGCCCAGCAGCGGAAAAGCAAATATGGCAGGATAATTAAACCGGTCAAGCGATAAACAATATTACCTTTTAATTGAACTCTTTTGAATTTTTTTCATATAAGTATAAGTCGCCGTGTGAGGAGCGAAAAACAATATATAAGTATAAGTCGCCGTGTGAGGAGCGAGAAACAATATATAACTATAAGTCGCCGTGTGAGGAGCGAGAAACAATATATAAATATAAGTCGCCGTGTAAGGAGCGAGGAACCTTGTATAAAATAATATAAGTCGCCGTGTGAGGAGCGAAGAACATTGTATTGTATAATTCTAAGTCGCCGTGTGAGGAGCGAAGGATTTGTAATAAAATAGCTTAAAAGAATAAACTATCGAATGAAACAACTTCTTAATAGCTTCAACAACAGCGAGTGCTTCCCGTTCCGTAGTGCTATAGTTACATTCAGCCTTACTGAGTTGCCGACCGCCGTACACGATGACAACGTCTCGCCCTTCGATGTTCTGACCGAGAATATAGCCGAGTCCGGTTGCACTGGCATCAACATGTAGTTGAAAGGGTTGGGAGAGATTTGGGTACGCCAAAATCGGTGGTGTAACCAGGGCGTTCTTCAGGCAATTAAAGGCTCTTTCACATGACTCATCCCACTTAAATGCGGTATTCTTTCTGGTCAACCGAGTGAGGGGAGCGGCAATTGATGAAAAGTCTTTCACGAACCGGCGGTAGTAACTTGCAAGGCCAATAAAAGCACGAATGTCCTTTACACTTCGAGGACGAGGGAAGTCACGTACCAATTGTGTTTTCTCGGGGTTAGGTTGGATCCCATGTTGGGAGATAAGGTGACCAAGGAAAGACACAGATTGTTGGCCAAAGAAACACTTACTCGGATTCAAAGTAAGGTTAGCCGCTCGTAGACGATCGAGAACTAATCTTAGGCGGGAAAGGTGTTCGTCGAATGTGCAAGAAAATACGATAATATCATCCAGATATATTAGGCAGATGTTCCCGTCCAATCCTTGGAGTACTTGGTGCATTAAGCGTTGAAAGGTGGAAGGCGCGTTGCACAGACCGAAAGGTAGCACACAGAACTCGTACAAACCCGATGCCGTGGCGAAGGCTGTGTACTGTTGAGATGATTTGTCCATTTCGACTTGATGATAACCGCTACGAAGGTCGAGTGTACTGAAGTATTTGGCTCCAGAGAGAGCATCTAAAGCATCATCTACTCGTGGAATTGGATAGCTGTCCTTACGTGTAACCGAGTTGAGCCTACGATAGTCTACACAGAAACGGGATGAGCCATCTTTTTTCTTGACCAGGACAACTGGAGCACTCCACGGACTATTGGAAGGTTGGATCAAGTTTGCATGCAGCATTTCTTGAACATGGTTTTCAATCTCTCGTCGTTTGGTGTGGGGGCCCTGTATGGAGGTTGGCGAATTGGGGGACTAGGCCCGACATCAATTCTATGTTGGACCAGGTTTGTTCGACCCAAGCTTTTGGTTGAATGAGACAGGACGTCGGAGTATTCGATAAGCAGTTCTGAGAGGGCTTGTTTCTCAGGGTTAGACAACACGGAGTTGGTCAGGTTGGGAAAATCAGAGGGCGTGGCTGAAGCGGAAGTTGGGCTTTGTGGGGTTGGTGTTCTAGGTGGGTCTTGCAGATCAGCGAAATCAGATTGGTGGATTGTGCTTGCCAAGGGGTTGATAATAGGTAGTGAGGTGCTTCTCTGAGTTGTCGTGGGTAATCCTGTACATGACATAGGGGTGGGCGGATCAGTAAGAGGTGTGGTCTCGAAATCTTTTTGTGTGAACTGTCCTAATGTGGCACCACGGAAGATTGTAACAGGCTCATCAGTTGGATTTAGTAACCGGAAAGGGATATTTCCTTGTATGTCTGGGCATACCAGGGATGCTGCACCAGCTAGATGGTATCTGTTGAGGAGTCTCTCTCCTGGCTCAATTAAACCAATAACATTATTTGTTATCTGACCAACAGTTGCTGGAATGACAGCTTCGCAATGTGCATCAATTACTTGGGTTTGACCACATTTAACGGGCAAGGAGCTGGGTGGGCAATTTTCATCCGCAAACATGAGCACATTGTCACCCAAAAATTCAACGGTATGGGTACCCATATTGATGATAGCACGGTTTTGTTGCAGAAAGTCGCGACCGAGAACGGTAGAATAGCTAAGACCGGACACTACATAGGCGCTGCAGCTGTATTTTGTATGCCCCAAAGTGAGATCAAAGGTCACAACGCCTTCAATTGGTATGTGAGCACCGTTTGCCGTTTTGACCGATCGGAGCACTTCACTATTTTCTAGGGGTGTTGATGTACTTAAAACTTTATGGTAAAATTCTGTACTGATTACTGTCACAGCAGCACCAGTGTCCACAAGAACTTGTATAGGGGTTAGTGATACAGTACCATTAATCAAAACATTACTGAATTGGGTTGACTGATCCAGGACATTAGTTGATGGGGAAATGGATGGAACTTCCGATCTATCACGTACATTTGGCACTGGGACTTTAGGGGAAACATTAATATCTCTAGGTAATGTAGAGGGTAGAAGGGGTGGTTGTGTTTGTATAAACTGACTTTGTTGGCTGGGTTGGACATGTGGTGAATAATGTTCATTGAAATGTCCACTCGTTTGCCAAAACGTGTCTGGATAAGAGCTGTTGTGATATCGATTTGGTGGGGAATATCCAGTTACTTGCGGGCCCCCCTGTGTCCCCATATGGAAGGCCCTTGGGAGTTTAAATACCCAGCATTATTCTCAGGATGTGGTGGTGGTGCTAAGGGATACTGATAGTTATGATAAGGGGGCTGGGGAGGAGGGACATAGCGACTTTGGGGGCGGATTGATAAACGGGACGTACCTGCTTCCTTGCAATACCTTGCAACATGCCCAACTCTTTGGCAGGTATTGCAGATTGGCTGCCCGTCCGTTGTTCGAAGGTTTCGTCCTCTGCTGTCTCGCCGGGGATATCTGTTTCCTACGCTGAAATCCTGTCGGTCTGTTGGGGCATTTTGTGGTGTGTCTTTCCTGATTTCGTCTCGAACTGCTGCTATGATATCCCTTTTCATGGCGTCGATATCCTGGGTAGAGGGAGTCTGAACAGGGGGATAATTGGTTGAAATAGGTGCTACTGTGGATGCTCGTGGTCGGTCAATAGTGGACATTAAAAGTTGCACTTGGCCCTCGAGCTCTGCTAGGCGTTGTCGTTCTCTGAGGTTATCATTAGAAATTGTTTCTACTTGTTTCTCTGAAGCTTTTTTCTCATTTAGGAGATCATGTATCTGATTTATTACATTATTTGGAGCAGGTAACTCTGCTTTGCCACATTTTGTACTTCTGCTGACAGTATCTTTCAGGCGCGCCAAGGATTCGGCTTCCTCAAATGTTGTTGGGCGGTTCAAAATGACATGCGATTTTAACTCGTCGTTTAGTCCTGATATGAAACAGTTCATTCTGTTGGTGTCATTAAGTCCAAGTCGGCTGCATCTACGAATAATGTCCTCTGTGTAACTGTTAAGGCTTTCGCTCTTACCTTGCTTTCGGTCATTTAATTGTTGTCTCTGAAGGAACTCTTCGTTTGGTGAAGCAAATCGCTGTCGAAGGGCCGTTATTAGACTAGCATAATTGTTCCTTGTCTCGTCTGGTACCGTATGTAGCCATGCCAACGCTGGGCCTTCAAACAATAGCATTAATGCAGACAGTTTCTTGGCGTTTGTCCAATTATAAAACTTGCTGTATCGTTCAAATCTTTCGATAAAGTCGGTAATATCCTCATACGAAAACCCACTGAAGGATTTTGGGCGAAAAAATGACGATGATGATTGTCCTTCAATGGCAGCTTGCATGGCTGCCATCTGCGTTCGTAGTGATTCGACCGTTTCTTCGACGTTTCCGGCTTCTGGAATGTCAACTATAGCGTCCCTTTGCATCGTTCCTTTTGACGGCTGTGCTTTGTATTTTGTAAACAATACGTTCTCGGCGGGGTCACCAATGTTATGATATTAAATTATACTGTCACACGTAATGTTATGCTCTGTTTTATTATCATAAATATGCGTCTAAAATACTCAATTCGTCAATACTTGAATCACATATCTTCTTCCTAGCCTCAAAACAAAATCTCCTCATGGTCCGTACTTTTCCCAACTTTTCCCCACTACACACCTAAAAATCTCACATCTTGTTGACAACTTGTTAGCTCAACAAGCTTGTAGCAAGCTTGTTGACAAGTTGTAACAAGCTTGTTGAGACAACAGGTTGTAGCAAGCTTGTTGACATCAAGCTTGCTACAACTTGTTGGCTTGCAGACTTGTAGCAAGTTGTTGGAACAACTTGTTCCAAGCTTGTCGACAACAAGCTGTACCAAGCTTGTTGGAGCAACTTGTTGACAAGTTGTTATAGTCATCAAGTTGTAACAAGCCTGTCACAACAAGCGTGTACGAAGGCTGCGCGTGACAATGCTGTAACAAGACAGTTCCAACAAGTTGTAGCGACATTGTTAACGGCAAAAGTTTTCCGATAACAACAAAATCAATTTGAACTGGGCCAAATATGATTTTTTTTTATCATTGCCATTCATCAAATGGCAAAAGCAAGATCAACGAGCTTTTAAACACTTTAACACTCTGCAACGAAGTTCATAACTTCTTTCAGTAATAAGATTTGAAAAGAATCCGAATTCCTTAAAAACATTACAGATGAACATTTCCTTGTTTCAAGGATATCTATAACCGTTGAACCGTTGAGGAAGTGACGATTTCAACGGAGTAATCTCATTGGTTCAGACTCTGTTTAAACTATGTATAAGTGATCTTATTGGTTGAAATATACGTCAGTATATTTGCAAATTTCCCTGCTCTTTTCAAGAGTTCACTGATTCACCTGGTCATTGAGCTATCTTTGTGCCAAAACCTTTGATTTTTTAAGCCTTTAAAAGTTTAATAAACGTTGAAATATCAGTTAAAACGGATGGGCAACTTAAAAAAGTTTGAAGAATACTACAGTTCGACGTTTTAATAAAGGTATGTGCGTTTAATTCATCCAAATATTTGATATGGCGTACACAACGCCGGCAACACAATTTATTATAGTACACAAGCTAGCCTTTTAAAACTATATAGTTTTTAAAATATTTGTTGAATTTATTGCTTTTATAAACATTGAACGGTTAGTTTCTGTGGATATTTATCAAAATCGAAACTTTGCCGGTTTTTTGTATTCAATAATTCAAATATTTTAATGACGAGTAGGTGTACGGTAAAGTGCAAAATTTCCTATTTTTAATATCTGTGCGTATGTTTTTATCGTGCTCTGATTAGAAATAATAATATATATTTACGTATTATGGTAATAAAGTATTTGTACATTACTTATTTGACATTAGACTTGGATGGCAAGCAAGACCCTCGCCACAGCAGACAGGATGGAGTTTCCTCAACGTATTTGCAAACCAGTTTCCTCAAAAATATTTGCATATTTTTTAAAGTAACTGATTCCTGAAGCCATTGTATATTATACTTTATAGGAATTTGATTATCAAACTGGAGCTAAACTGAGGTATTGGCCGGAAAGTCGTATCAAAACAAAGTGAATTATAGGAAAGAGGTGCAGCTAGCTGTTGATTCTTGGGATGACGAAGTCAATTCAACAAGTGACTGAAATACTGGTATTATACAAGAATATTCATGCACCAGTTAATTTTTGCCATATGAATGCAAAGAAACTTTTCTTACGAACTGATTATTAGGCTATATACTCAGAAAGGAAAATACATATGTTCTTGTACTGAGCCTTTAGTAATCTTGATACTTCAAATGTGAAGTTTGTATTTAATTGCTAACCTTTGAATTTGTTTTTAAAATAATATGATTTTTACATCAAACTTTGCGTTGTTTGTTCTTTGTTTCACAATCTCCGGGAAAACACGCGTGTTTTCAAGCGAGATTTAATGCGCGGCCATGTTTGCAGCAAGCTTGTCGCGACAAGCTTGTAACGGCCTTGTTATAACAAGCTTGGAACAGCTCAAGTTCAACAAGCTTGTAGCAAGTTGTTGTCAGACTTGTAGCAAGCTTGTTGGCAACAACCTTGGTACAGCATTGTCACAACAAACTTGCTACAAGTCTGATAACAACTTGCTACACGTCCGTCACAACAACTTGGGACAAGCGGTGCGAATAAATCTTGCAACAAGCTTGTTGAAACGAGCTTGCGACAAGCTTGCTGCAGGCTTGTTACAACTCGTGCGTTTTTACGTGTGTAATTATCGTCTCTTCGTCACTACTTAAAAATGGACTGTTCACGTGTTCAGCGCATGCCATTGCTATTGTTATAATTATCTCGTAACAGTACTTACCCCGTTAATAGCCATCCCATCAAAGTCTTGATCTGAAGGCTTTCTTTTTCTTCCATGTGTGATTACATTATCTGTAGTGAGCTCTTTACCTTGTACACTTACATTATGAGAGCTTACCTTTTTATCACTGACACCTGGAACAACTACTTTACCAGTACTCCCAGTTGCTAAATCTACTGCAATGTCTTCACTTACCATAAGTCCAGGTACTTCTTGCGTACTTACACAATCTCTACCAGTCATCCAAATTGCAATATCTTTTGATGCAACCTCTACATGTTCCACATTTTGTGAAATTACCTTGACAGAAATGTTAAATTTAATATTGATAACGCAATAAAAATTTATCTATGTTTAAATAATTTATCTATGGTGTAAAATGCCACACAAGACATGCAAGACAAGATGGTACTCATGCACTATCGAGTTATACATTCCACTAGTGACAACATTATATGCATTGCAGGTGACCAGCAAAAACTTATATATGTTTGCAACCTAAATGTATGGCAATTCAGGCTGTTAATTTTTTTTTAGTGTTAATGAATATTGCTTCACATAATATGATTTGCACTGCAGTAGTTAGCAACAGCTCCTTGGAGTTGAGTCTTAAAGAAAATTATAATCTTAATTGTTCACCAATTTAATTAAAAGAGGCACAAACCTGAGACTTTTCAAATATTGTTGGGATAGCATATGGCAACAGCATTGTCCTTTGCCCAACTTTTTGCATCATGTCCACACTAAAATGTTCAGAACACACACGACTTCCCTTAATTGGAGTAAACTCAACTGGAACATTATTGTTTATATTCTCCATCCATAAGGCATGTAACTCAGGACTCTTCTCAGCATCAGGAAAACTATATTTGAATGTTAGAGTAATGTTAAAAATTCAAATTTTCTAGTATGGATATATTAATGCGGTATATCAAATACATGTGTGTATGTATGTATATGTATGTATTTTCTAGCACATGTTCTTGTAAATTTGATTTTAGAGCTATTGAATAAAAAAAAATGATATCACTGTATTTTCAAGCCTTACGACAATTAAAAAAGTTAAATTAATTTTGCCGTTTGTGGCACGAAACACATTGAAAACTGAAAACAGTCAAAACACGATAATATAGAATGCAAATTATCTCAAAGGTCAGAGAAATTCAACCCTTTCTTTACTTAAAATTTCTTTACAACTATTTCTGAATGTGCGAAAAATAAAAAATGACGCCATTTCCTCAATACGTGCAAACAAAATCGTGTTTTTGTGCGATAAAAACTACAAAATTATGAAGTTGCATAATATCTTACCGGTGGGAGGTAATATTCTCCTTCGAGAAGGAATTATGACAACCAATAACGCAGCAAAACTTCGGCATTTTTTAATTTAGAGTGAGGCGGGAAAGATGAATAAAAAAATATTCAAAAACTGATATCAGTCAAAAATCGGGAGGGTGACGGACACGTTCTTGACTTTGTATCGCGGTATGTCAGTGGTAATTACCATGGGCAAAGGGGACCATGTGGCGTCAGCAAAGCTCAAAATCCGCCATGTTTTTTGCTTCACTTTCTGGTCAGGAGCCGGTCCTTCAGGAATTATTATATAGCTCAGTGATTTGCACATCGTGGGTGTAAATATCCTAGCGGAATTAGTACCCTCGCACGATGCTCCGCACCGGCTCGGGGGGAAAAATCCAGGAGGGGAATGTTTTCGAAGCGGGCTCAGATTTGAGCCTGGTCAGTGGTAACTACCATGGCCATTTAGGACCATGTGCACTGAGCTATATAAAGTTCCTGGAGGACCGGCTCTCTGCCAAAAGTTGAAGCCGCTGAGCTATATGATAATTCCTGGAGGACCGGCTCCTCCCATTTCAGTAACTTTGTCCGCCATCTTTTTGAAGCAAAAAACATGGCGGACTTCACCCTTCTGCGCAACCGCAGAAGCTCTGCTGACGCCACTTGGTTCCTTTTGGCCATGGTATTTACCAATGACCAGGCTCAATTCTGAGCCCGCTACAGCAGCATTCTCCCCCGTGGATTTTCTAAATAACATTTCTCCCCCCTGGTTTATATGAATTTTTTTGCCGAATTTTGTTTTTGAAATAGTTTTTTTTTATATATATTTTTCACCCTGGCCTCCAATAAAGTTTTTATTTTAAAATGAATACAAGTCATAGACGCTGTTTTTTGCCAATGCGAGGACAAATATAGATTAAAATGTCGAAAAAATGTGGACAAACTAAAGATTTTAATACTGACACGAACTGACAGGTTTATGTAAACGTTTATTCTCGGGTTTATTGCTTTATTTTATTTATATATTTGTTATTTATGCATTCCAATATCACAATGAAGTTTTATAAATTTTTGAACTTTGAATTCAGTTTTGGCGCTATCGTAGGATATTTTGAGGACAACTGGGAATTTATGGGCATCGATTTGATTTTCTAAACCAATAAAACCATGAACTGAAGAATTTAATAGAGAAAGTATGCAATTAGTATGTGAAGATGTCTTCAGGACTTTATACCTGTGCATAAATCATAAGCCAAAGAAACAGAAGGCAAAGCTCAGGCAAAATGCAAAATCATTAGCTTGTACCTCAAAGTGCTATAAAAGTTTTTAGTATTGTTTAATTGCATCAATGGACCCCTGGTCATTGTAATGAGTAATATTTATCCCTCCATACGCTCCATTATTCCTGATTAGCCTAACGAATAAACATGGCCCTCTTGGAGGTTGATACCATAAACAGAAAACTATCAAATGGGTGGAGCTTGAAGACACACTGCTCAGTCAAT